TTAAGCTGGGATCCTCGGACCGACTTAGAGAGATCCCTCCGCCTCCAGGATTCCCTTCCCCAGGAAACCTGCGGGCTTCCACCTGCTCCAGGGCTTGCCTGAACCCACCGGGCAGTCCTGCACTTTCCTGCAGATTTCATCCTTTTTGGGTTTGTTATCCAAAAAAACCATCCTTTTTGGGTCTGCTGTTACATGGTTAGGTTGTTGGAGTTCAAGCAGTAAGTCATCTTAAATGCTAGCACTGGTGAAAGATACTGTACTCGTAATGATAGAGGAGAAATCTGTGGGCAGAGCCGAGGGTGGCAATGCCGTGTGCCCCAGGGCAGTGTTTCCAGGGCTGGAAGCAGGGGCTTTAGAGAGCTAATCTGGTCCTCTGCCTATTTGCTTTTGCCTTCTAGTGGCGAGACGGCTAGTGAAGGTCCGGCTTCCACAGTCCCTGCAATCGTGGGCATTTATTCAGGGCTGCTTGGAGAGCACAGGGATTTTACCTGAAGGAATTTCCTGGTGCTCCCTGCCTGATTTGGGTGCCTGTATTTCCATAGCTTTCCAGGAAAGATGATGGCACTGTGAAGTTTGTTTTTTGCAGAAAAAAAGAGTTGTCTGTAACAGCTTAAGATACCCAAAAGGCCAGATTTAATGTTGATTAAATGGGTCTGACTCCAGCGAAGTTGCTGCTAAGTTATACCTTCGTAAATGAAAGGTAAATCAAGCCAAAACTTAAACACTGCAAGGACTGCTGCTGATTTCAAGACTTCAAAAATAATTTGTTAGCAAAATAGTCTGTTTCTCTAATACAGGCTTTAATATTTTAAAGTCACCCTTACGTGGTGGCATAAAGGTTAAAAATTCTTTGTTTACAGGTGAAATCCCCGCTCCTCCTGCTCTCCTAGATCTTCTCCCAGCCCCAACAATTTGATAAATTTTCCCTTCGACATATGTAATTTCAGAGTGCCCTCTGCTGTACAGACATCCCCAATGCATCGCCCTCGCTCATGCCTCTTCCCTCTGACAAATCCACTTGCTTGTAACACTTTGCATTTGTTTATCCCTGTCGCTTCCCGTTGCCTACGAGGGGGCATCAGACCCAAATGTGAGGCCCCATCCTGTAAACGCACTGACATGAACTTAGCTTGAGTACCCGGGGAGCTCCCAGACTTCCCATTAGTTAACAAAGGGTTCTGCCTATCTGACGGCAAAATCAGAGCCCAAAACCATGATGAAAACAGTCTCATGTTGCCACTGATGAGAAAAACACCTGGAGTGTGGGTCCTTAGTTGAGCTTGAGAAGCAGCTTGTGTAAGCGGTGACACTCCTCTCGGTGTGGTGCTACCGAAGGCGGTGAGCCTCGCTGCACGAACGTGGCTGCAGAACTGATCCGTGTTTTCCAATGTATTAACAAGAAATAAGTGAGTCAAAATAATCCTTGCTCTATCTCCCGTGGATTTAACATACCTGGAGGATGAGGTTCTTACACTGACTAACGGCATTTCTATCTGATCCCTTTTTTCATTACATGGAGTGACTTTTTTTTTTCTTTTTTAAGATCTATTAGTTTTGGGAACATAAGTCTGCAATGATGCTATGTCTTGTAAAACAAAACCAGTGGAGCCTCTGTGAACCAGAGACTACGCACCCTTCAGCACTACAGGGAGGAGCAGGCGCGTTATGGGATGGTGCTGGGAGGACCAGTGGAGGTACCATGGCTCTGCAGGGACCTTGGATCCTGGCAGCAGGTGAAAATAAGGCATGTCAGGTCTAACAAGAGGGTACCTGGGAACCCCCCAGTTGACCCGTGCTCCCCTTTGGCCAACATGTACATTGTGGGTTTGCCGCTGACTGTGACTGCTGCTGTTTAGATCGGGTCTGATGCAACCTGTTGGTGGACACCACGATGACCATGACAGAGCACAGAGGGATGCCATCAGGGACCTCATGGGCCTTGTGGAGCTGATCCACCTGACCTCCTGCTCAGCTCCAGCATAGCCACGTGCCGCTTGCTCTGAGGGATGCCTGGGCACGCAGGAGGTGTCCCTGCCACGTGCCAGGCGTGTTTGCGAGACAGGAATGTACAAGAGTGATGAACCATCCTGCAAGCGAGTGCGACACAGTGACAGCACGTGGGTGACTCTAACTTTGGGAGTGCCAAGCGCTAATTGATCTGTCAACAGCTAGCTATTAAAGGTGTTCCTGGGACAGACCTTCCCACCTGAAACCCTGCTGGCGAAGAAGCTGGAGGGATTCTGGGCTCTTGCTGAGGTGACAGAAATGGCAGATGATAACTAAAGTGACTGACAAGTGCTGCTTTGTAATTAAATGTTAAAAGGCACCACAATGAAGGCAAATGAAATTGATGGGCCCAACCTGGCAGCAGCAGGAAGCTGCTGAGATGTGTCCAGTACATCTGGTTGTGTCAGACCAGTTAATGTTTTCACTTAACAAAACAAAGAAAAGATGTTGGCAAAGAGGCAAAAAGAGCTCTGCGGTGACTTGTTAGAGATTTGCAAATAGAGAGCAAAGCCTGAAAAGCGTAGTACAAGACAGATGGGAACTCTTATTTTGAGGTTGCTGTCAACACTCAGGCTTCCAAATTCCACATGAAATTGAAGAAGTATTGAAAAATTATCTCTTTCTTTCTGAGGAAGCTGGAAATCCTCTTTCTTGTAAAGGAAGTTCTACGTTCTTTTGAGAATCATAGGATCATAGAATCATTAAGGTTGGAAAAGACCTCTAAGATCATCGAGTCCAACTGTCAACCCAACACCACCATGCCCACTAAACCATGTCCCTAAGCGCCTCATCTACCCGTCTTTTAAATACTTCCAGGGATGGTGACTCAACCACTTCCCTGGGCAGTCTGTTCCAATGTTTAACCACTCTTTCAGTAAAGAACTAACATCCCATAGGATCCCAACTGCTGGTAAACCCATCACCTGCTTTTTAAAAGTCTGGATCTCACAGACGTGCACTGTTCATGAGTGGAGTTCCCAGCTGGTATGGGAGATGTAGAGAATTAAACAGGAGGTCCACGTGGTTTTCCTTTGTGTCGGCCAGGAGTAAAGGGAGTTGGGTAACTTTGCCATTGTATGTAACTGCTCCGGGGATTAGTTTTCCCCACTATAGGATGAAGCTGTGAGATGAGCATCATGATGATCATGTGATATTTTGTCACCTTTCCGACTTGACCTGCTGCAAATTACCACCAGCAGTAAAACACAGAGACTTCATTTGAAGTAGGTTTCCAATGTAGGTGATAGTACAAGCATGTAGGAGCCCCTGCCGTAACTGAACAGTCTGCCACTGTGGGATTGTCAGAGATGGCTATGCCTGGATGGAAATGGCCAGCCAAAATATCCTAAACCTCTGCTGCTAGACCTGAAACCCCACTGCAGTGTGTGATCAGCCTCAAAACGGAACTCGATTCTGGATCTGGGTCTTGTAACCAGCACTGCAGTGTATATTGGGCTGGAGTCAAGCCTGTGTCGAAGGGCTCTTGAGCTGCAGGTCTGCTTGGAACACGTGGCATTGAGCCTGGGCTGAGGAGCCCCTCGCCTCCTCCCTGTTTGGATCAGATGAAACGCTCAGCCAGCCCAGCGTCTGTCTGCCAACAGTGAGTGGAAAAAATGTATGAGAGCAGGTTAAGATTACAGAGATATTTTCCCCAGAATATCTTCCCAAGCCGTTTAAGGACTTCTTGAGCCAGAGAATGTTGTCTTTTGTCTACCCTCCCTTAACTGATTTATCTTTTATGTGTGTGTCCAATGCACGTAAAGTTCTGGTGTCCCCAGCATCCTGTGGCAGTGACTTCCACAGTTCTGTTACTTGTTGGGTGAGGATCTGCCTCCTCTTTTTTTTTTTATTTAATCTGCCACCTACAAGTTTCATTTTATGTCCTCTATTTCTTGTATTAGGAGAGACAGCAGACAGTTGTTTCTTGTTCTTCATGCTTCTTGTTATTGAATAGCCTTTTATTTTGTGGGTTTTTTTTTTCAAAACAGGACTATTGCTACCTATAGTAGTCAAGATGTGGTTGTACCCTGCACTCATACACTGACTTAATGATATTTTCTGTTTCTCTCCCAGTGATTCCTAACATTCAATTTGATTTTTTGACCTTTGCAGTGCTTCAGACAGCTCATAGAGCTGTGTATTACATCTCTAAAGTCACATTTGTGATCAGAGATCAGACCAGAGCCCATTGTTTCATCCGTAAGATTTTCACAACTGTAGTTTGAAAATGTGATAAACGTTCATTTGTTCAGTGAATATCTTTGTCCAAAAGCCTCCAGAAGCCTATAAGCATATAAGCATCTATGTATAAGCATGTAAGGTGAACTGAGGTTGATTTGTGTGCAGGAGCCAGCAACCATCCTGGAATGCTGCTGCGATGCTAAAAACCCCATGCCGCTGCCCCAGCTGGGCAAATATAACCCAGAATGCAGAACGGTTTAATACCATTGCTTACCTTAGATAAGCTCAGTAATGTCCAGGAAAGAAATTGATTTCTTTCCATCTGGGGATGGCTTTAAACATCCATCTTGTTCTTTTTCATGATTCTGAATCCGTTTCTTTTGAAAGACCTTTCCCAGGCTTGTCTCTGCAAACTTGGGAGCTGTGATGCAGATCTTTTTGTGTATAACCACATGGCTCCAGATTCCTGGCCTCTAAGACTGCCCTCTAGCACAAGCTGGGAACAAGCTGTTTTAGCCTAATGAGCAAATAGAAATATAAGAGCTTGCCACGTGTATCTCACATATAGTATGGTTTTCCTGGCCATGACCTTGATACTGGAGGAGGTGCCTGATGCATCAAAATTCCTTACCATGAGCAGTCAAAAACTTGGGGGGTCTTTTGTTTCTGTCCCTGCAGCATCCTCAGCCTGCAAGGTGCCCCGATGAAGAGTCAAGGAACTGAGAGAATGCAGTAGTGAAGTAGAGAGGGTTGAAATTTGCACATTGTCCTGGCTGGGAAAAAAAGAGGCACGACATGATACTGCCGTCAACATGACGTCCTTCTGTCTTTATTCCCAGCATGGGGGCCTTGGAGACTGTTGTGGAGAGGGTGAAACGCAGCGGTGCAGGAGATGGGATGATAAGGAAACATCGGCCTCTCCAGGTTTGTGTGTGGATTCTGCGGATTTTTTTTCTTTTATGTGCATTTTTTGCAGGGAGTGGTGATGGGGAGAGGAACAGAAGGGCTTATTGCATGCTGGACATGTGGAGCTGCCTGTCTGCCTGTTGCTCTAAGTTGGGAGACCAGAAATAATGTTGGCCGTGCTTTTGACTCTCTTGACATCTGTATTATCAGCTATCCCACAGCCAGTGGGATCCTGGGGACAAAACATGACCTTTGACTGTTGTGCTTGAGGTCCTTACACAACATGTGAGCCAGGTCAAACACAGTAGAGAACCAAGGGAAGGATAAGGGAGGTTTATTTTCTTTCCCTGAGCAGATTTCTTTTGGATGTGGAAGCTGTGAGAGGTGTCCAGGAAGGCAGAAAAGATTCTCACTGAGCCAAATGGGGTCTGGCACACAGCTCAGTGATGTTTCTTGGCCTGTGAGTTAATTTGGATTATCCCATCCCAGCTCAGAGGTCTGTGACTGTGGCCGAGTGCCCTCAGCCTCCACCATGCAAGACCTTCTAGTAATCAACCTTCTAGCAGGAAAGGTGTAGATAGGCACAGACAGACAAGCCTCATTTGGGAGACCTGGGGGAATGTATGAAATGTGGGAGCTAAGGCAGAGAGGTATGTAGGAAGCTGATTTGGGGTCACTAGATGGTGCTATTGATCTTGAAATGAGACCAGACAGCTTACAGAAGAGGGAATCTCCTGAACTTGTACCCAGAGCATCTGCCCAAAATTATGGTTGACTGACAACATCTTACATGCTTCCCAAACATCAACTGTACCTGCACTTCAGGCTCTAACAGTGAAGCTATAGAGACGAAGGAGTACAACAAACACAGGAAAATCAGGAACTGGACAATCATGAGCTGTGGCCCCACCCCATGGCCTTAGCTCTGCCCTTCCCGGAGCCTGCAGAAACCATGGGGCATGGGGAGAAGATTTTAAAGCCTGTACTGCAGAATAAGTAGATGTGAAAAGTGACCACCAGAACAGGCTGCTTTTATGTGGAGTACCACGTATTCTCTCGCATCCCCATGGCCTTGGTTGCCTGTAGGTGGTCAGCAGAGCTCAAGCACGTCTGCAGTGATGCAGAGCATCATTTTGGGATCAAGTTCATTGGGTTTAACAAGCAGAGAAGCGCCATGGGCTGGCAGCAGGTATAGTAGTAGTGCACAGCAGCAAAAGATATTCCAGGGGGAGGCATTGTAGACAAGCTCATGGGGCAAGGGCATCTGGCATCACTGGAGCAGAATAGCTGAAAAGGTTATGTGTAGTCTGCCTCGCCAGCTTTACACGCTTATGGAGCTCTTCACTGCCATATTCCGTCCTGAGACATCTCAGCCCCACCAACTCCAAACTTTTACTACTCCTTCTACTGGGAGGTGGTCTCACCTTTGGGACCAGCAGGGCACAGAAAGTTTCAAAGTATGTTGACTTTTAGGGCCAATTTTTTCCGGGAAAGAAATCCAGAAAACATTGCAGGTAGAGAAGCAATCTGTGTGTAAGACACACCCTGAAGTCACAGTTCCCAGGGAGGAAACAGCACCTGGGAGTGCTGATAGGTTTGCGTGGCAAGGTTTTGGTAGCCAGGGGGGCTACAGGGTTGGCTTCTGTGAGAAGCTGCTAGAAGCTTCCCCTATGTCCGATAGAGCCAATGCCAGCCGGCTCCAAGAGGGACCTGCCGCTGGCCAAGGCCGAGCCCATCAGTGATGGTGGTAGCGCCTCTGGGATAACGTATTTAAGAAGGGGAAA